GTGCTCTTGTGGTTGGTGTCCAAAAGTAGAAAGTTTCTAGGCATTAGAGAGATGAACAAATAAAGGATGTTGAAAAATGTGTTTGGAAGACACTCACAAAAAAAGTAAGTGGAATCATAGTAAGTGAATAGTAGATACCAAGAACTTAAGAATAAGGGGGGGAAGAGAGAGACAGAAGGTAGATGGAGGCAGAGGAAGAAGAATAAATGAGAAAAGTAATGAGAAGCAGAAGAGAAAGGTATGGTGGACAGCAACCCTCTCCTTCTAGAACTGAAATTCATCTTTAACAGCAGGTTGTTAAAGGACAACTGCTATCCAGTTAATAACTGACAATCCCACTTTTTAAATTATTTCCATTTTCTTCAAAAATCATGCTTCTGCCCAAGAACATAGCATCTCATTTGGAAAACGAGTGTGTCCTGGTTTCGCTAGGATAGTTAATTTTCTTCTTAGTAGCTAGAATGGTGCTGTTTTAGTTTCAGCATAGAACAAAAGAAACAAGATAGCGCAGAAGAGTCGTTGACATAATTTGACTACTCAAGTCAAAAAAGAACATACTGACAAACGAGTCAGTCCTTAGCAAGCTTCTATTCTGCCATTTATAGGTTTCCTACATTTTCTATTATTTTCCTGCCTTCAGACCTTTGTAACTTAGCTACATTTTCCTTTCATGTTTTTCCTTCCTTTGGTTAAGTAGATTAATAGTTATTCTAATATCCACATATTTAGTGAGCTAGAAAGTTATTTCATTAAAACCAGAAGCAAAGAAAAACAGAAAACCTTCCACCAAAACAGAATGCCTTAAAAAATATTCAATTCTCTTCTCTCTCTCTCAAAAAAAAAACCAACAAAAAAAAAATTGCTCTGATAGTAAACCAATACATTGAAGGCAGAGCATAATAAAAACAGCAATTTAGAATGAGTTATTTAAAAACAAACAAAAAGTTTTTTCATAAATTAAAGAGAAAAAATTATACAATGTAATCTATAAGAGGAACTTACTTTAAATGGAACTTCACAATTCACAGATGGCTAGACAATGTTCCTCCCTCTAAGAGAATTATCTTGTAACTTAAGATTAAAATGGATTGGAATCCTTATTTTTTGTCTTAGTTGAAATACAGTATCCAAAATGGTACATGTTTAAAATTATGCAATAAAGTTATTGCAGTTCTGGACTGCTTCCAAAAGACATTTAAGGCAGGGTGGCAAGTAGCTGCTTCTAATATTTGCTTTATTAGTGAGAACTCACACTGTGCTACGTGCTCTGATTCCAGTTTGAAAATATGCGTATGACGAATTTAGCAGATGAGAAGGACAGGCATTAGCCCCATATTTCTATTTAAACTTCCCATTAAGTCAGAAATATATTACTATGGAGGAATTAAAAAACAGATTGAAAAGTAAGGTAAAATAAATCCTGTTTTCAGAGTCTAGGTATCAAGACAACAGGGACACAAGAAAATCAAAAAAGCCCCCTCCTCTTCCATTATTTCCAAATGCTTTGTATGTAAAATTTCTCCCTGTTTTTCCTCTTGGATATTGTAAGTAATATAGTTGGCACTAACAAATTCTTACCTTGGACAGTGCTTCATCATGCACAACTGTATTAGTTGTTAAAAGTACAAGAACTGTCTGAAGCAATTTAAGTTCTTCAAGACTATTTTCCATCAGTTGCCAAAGCATATTAATAATGTTTCCTGCTGCAGCCTACAAAAAATAAGTTTCACCAACTATTAAGATGTTCACATACTGGTACATCGTCTGTACACATGGAAGAATAGCACTCTCATAAGTGCGTATTTGCCTGTTTGTCTCTACACTGAGAACATAAAGCCAATTTCATTGTCACAAGTTTTCCAAAATATTTTTAAAGAACTGATGGCAGAAATCTCTTAATGTGTAGTCCAAATTAAAGTGCATACTTCATTTACTACTTGGAAATACAGAAGAGACAGTACTAAGATATTTTACCCTCAAAATTAATTCATATCAGAGAAAAAAACAGTGTAAGTTTACATTATGCAAGCATAACCAAAGATATATTTTAACAGTATTATTTTCACCAGCTTCTTAACACACTACATATGCAGTACCATAATATATCATGACATTTACAGTTGCAGGAAACTTGCATCCATTTTATTGCATTTTTGAAAGCAAAATGTAACAGAAACATAATACATAATGATATCACACACAGTAAATTTTATGGATGCCACTTTAAGAATTAAATTTATCATGGACCATTATATGTTCTGTTCCTGAAGTGTAAGAATGCAAACTAAATGAGCTGGTTTGAATTTTCATTAATTTCCTTCTAAAAGTTACTAATGTTTCCTCATCTCTTCTTTTCTTTTTCATTTTCATGGTCAAAAATATTTTATTTAAGAGTACAATTTTTTAAAAACAGAGACGAGTAAAATATTTTGCAGACTATGTTCATTATAATATAACGTCTCATTAAAAAAAGCATTCACTTTCAGTTTGAGGCCTGTATTTCTCACACCGAAATACTTAAGTATTTATAAAAAGATTGATCTTACCTCTGAAACAACTTCATGGGACATGAGCCTCTGTATGGCTGCTAGACACAGCTGAGTGATCTTTGGTTCCTTTGTTCCACAACCCATTAGAAAAGGCTGAACTACCTCTGAGCTGTTCTCTTTCAATGCTTTCAAAAAGAGATATGGAAGCAGTCAATGTTTAATACTTCGAAGAATACGATGCAGAATTTGTTAATCACATCTATAAACAAAAAGCAATCTCCAGTCTTGAAATCTGAGATTTATTCTTGCACAACAGGGAAAAGACAAGTGAAGACAGTGGGCTGCCACAGCTCACTTCCATGATTACCCTGCCTGAGGCTCAAATCCCAACCACCTTCTTCCTTACACACCCAAGTGACTTTCTCTTTCCAAATCCCAAATGGCCATTTAGTCTATTTGGTTAGTAAGAAGCTGTAACATTCTGCCCACCTCAGAGCTTTCTCTGGCCTTGCAGTGATGACCAGCCTCAGGCTGGTAGCCTTCTCCTTCTGCTTTGCTTCCCCTTGGCACTGAATTCAAAAGCAACACAAAGCCTGGCACAGCGAGGCATATCAAAGCACATGGGACAGAGGGGAATAGCAAAATGCTACCAACAAAACAGGAGGAGAAAGCGACCAAACTGTTTGTATCCTGGGTACATACATCTGACTGTGAATTTTTCAATCAATGTTTTAGTGAGAAAAGGCAGCTTCTTAAAATTAAGTTTTGTCAGAAGAAAATGCAAGTTTCATTAATTTCTTTCTCTTTTTTTAAGGAGAAAAAATTTCACAATGAATACAACATTCCACACCAACATTTTAAAAAGTTTTTCCCCATAAAACTAATACTAGAAATCTGAGATAAACTTCATAAAATTAAAAAGGAAGAATATATTTCTCAAAGATGAAAGAAAAGCACAACTGTGACTGATGAGTGCTTTTCTGTTTGCAGGCATGGTTGTTGGTTCGTGCAAACTTTTAAGATTTTAGTTGCTCATCACCATTTCAGATATTAAAAATTTCCTCACAGCTGAAAGCTCAATGCGTGTTCTTACACTGAATGTCATACACCGTGTTTTAGTCCATGTGTAGTAAGAGAAATGTGTTCATGAAAAACTTTCACACACATTTTTTTAGAGCACAGATCTTAGCACAAACAAACAAAAAGTATATTCTCACATAAAAATGCAAACATTACTTATTTTATTTTTTCTATCGAGCAATATGAAGTTTGGCTCTCAGGAGGGTTTAAGTATCACTACAGCTAATTTGGAAAAAAAGAAACATCACAGTAAAAGCTAGAGAAATATATTTTAGTTATATTTTTCAACTGAAACACTAACTAACTTGACTAACAAGTTTCTATGAAAAGAATAGGCTAGTATAAATTATAGATGACAATATTCTACGAGGTAATAGTTCTTACGGGATGATATTAACACATATACAGTCCACAGTTTTGTCAGTCTCTTCAGAGCCAGTAGAGGCTCTTTGCCCAGTTGGTGGAGGCTGACTTTGCACCAAATGCCTAACCAAAACCAATTAAAATGTCAGCATAAATGTGAATGAATACACAGGTTCACTGCCTGTTTAACAATCTGCTTTGATTTCAACAGATTTTTTTTTTAACTTAACTATGAAGCAAATAAACCTGCTTTTAAAATATATACAGCATAAACCATATCTACCATTTCCATTCTCTTATGAAACACTCCATGATTTTCAAATTAAAGACAAAACATTGTCTACTTCATCAAAAACGGAAGTTCGTTCACAATTAAGATGTGTAATCTAGGCATCTAATGGTCAGCGTCTACATGTGAGCTAGATGTCTAAGCTACCTTTATAGTCTACAAACACCTACAACTCGTGGCCAGCAGAGCCCAGAAAGTTCACTCCAACATGGGTACAAATGCTTCTTCACTCATATAAATTTCTGAATTGCCATTAAATTCTAACCATCACACAGAAAGAAGAAAGCAAAATTTTTAAAAAGATACCACAAAACATTTCTCCTTAAGACTCATGATTAAGTTCTGAATGGCAAAAATGGCATGAGAGTTAACAAATAACAAGACAAAGAAAAATCTAAACCTTTTACAGTATTTTTTCTCTAGTCCCTTAAAAACAATAATCTCAAAACAGGATCTGTACGAGAATTTTTACTTTATGAAGCTGAAAAATTAAAGTTCTGTAGATCTGGTTTGGTACCAATCATGATATTAGCTTCAGTCTGAAAACACACAAGGATTTTCTTATATTCAGGTCTGATTCCATTTTGCTACCAAATTTGCTATCTAAGAATATAGTCAAAAAGAAATCTATCATAATGAACTACATCAAAAAAGAAGTTTTGGGAAAGTAAAAATGAGTCCTTGATTCCATCAGCAAGATTAGAATCCTAATGTTTTAAAAGAACTCCTAAAACAAAAGTATGAATTGCACATGTCAGAGCTACATGGAAATAATTTCTCATATTTATCTCCTGTGATATAAAGCACAAGCTGACTTCTCTTTCGGAATTACTCAAACCTTCATAAATAAATTATGGAGCGTGTACAGACTGCCAAGAATGAAGACTTTGGAACTGCTCAATTTAACTTTTCCAAGAGAAAGAAAGAAGTTAGATCAATATCTCAGGAGTTCTGGCAAGTTAAATACATCTCACCAGATATAATATTAACTCTGTGTATTTGTAATTTTAAGATTGCATCTAATAATAGATGCAATAATTATAATACTACACAGTGTAACACTTCAAGAAAGCATCAGGTCAGCTTACTCAAAACAATCTGATACAGTTCTGATTTATTTTAGTGAAATGACATTTTACATCAAAATACAAAAACAAATCATACCTTGATCACAGTATTTATTTGGATTACTAGAATGTCTAGTAGATGTTCCTAAATCATCTAGCAGTCAAAAAGTACTTCACTAGATTTCACAATTACAGTAGCCTTTTGCAGCTTTATTATTACTAAAGTATACCTACTATCTTTCTCAAAAAAAAAATTAAAATAGCAGATAGGAGACAAAAGACACCTTGACATTAACTTATCTACAAGATTAGGTTACAATTGAAACCTCAAAAACTACAGGAGTTCATAAAGAACTGGAACTATGTTATGGAACTCTGTTTAAACTGTGGCATGTTAGGATAATGTGCAAGCAAAACATATGTTCCCCTCTGTTCTGCAGCTTCTTACTATGAAAAAAGTTATGACCCTATTAGCAAAGATTAACTAAGCATAGCAACTTCTAGTACCTGCTGGTTTTCCAAACCTCAAAACAACAAATCTGCTCAGTTTTTTTGATGAATGAAATAAATACTACATTCTAGTTTAAAACTTCCAAACAAAAAGCACTAACAAAATTTGACCAACTACCAGAAAGTGTTCCCTCCAGAAGTAAAGACTGCCTATCCATGGACAAAATCAGTGATCTTTCACATCTCTCCATTTTGAAATGAAGATCAAAAACCAAAGAATTTTGCAGGATTACAAACTAGCTTTCTAAAATATAGAGTTCTTTATACAGTAATATGCCAAAGAATGTTGACAGTTTCCCAAACGGCTAACTAGAGATTTCTCTTGTTCATTGGTGTATTTTGATATAGCTGACATTACCTGGCATAGTTTTCCCACTTATGTCAGCATTCATGACAGCAGTAAAAACAAAGAAAATAAACAAATAAAAAAGAGGCATTAAAGTGAAATATTGAGGGGTGGGATTGCTACTTCAAATAATTCTAGAAAAGTGCCTCCTTACCAACATCTGATTTACACACCTCAAAACAACAAACAGTTTTAAATCTATTCCATTTGGACCTTTCAAATAATTTAGCATTTTAAGGATTTTGACTACAGCTGGGGTAGACACTCAAGTATTAATACAGGGACATTCAAATCTGGCCAAAGGCTTTACCAGCAATTGGTAAGAAGCCATCAACTTACATGCTATTTAATAAAGCTGAAGAAAGTCAGAGATACTGTTTTAAGCACTTACAAAGCTGCAACTCGCAAGATATCTCCTGTCCCTCAAGGCAATGGTACATCTTAAATTGAATGACCTTGTCTCAGATTAAGATGGATTTTTGCCTGCCAGGTACAAGTCTCCAAAGGCTAGACTCCCATCCTAAATACATAGGTGAGGATCATGCGGCAGAACTCCACACAGAGCACTGAAAAACAGCTGTGGTGAACGCAGAGAATAAAACATTGAGAATTTGGAATCTAAGCATTTCATGCTGTTTTTCTAAGTGGATCATTACTTTTGTAGAGCCACAACTGAAAATGGAGACCTTCCTCACTATCAGTATAGCACTAACATGAAATAGAAGTAGTATTAAAAAATTCTTATGCTACTGGATTTTCTGCTAGGTGCCCAAAAGAAAAGCATCACTGATATAGCACACACTAAAAGACATTCATTATTACACATATCCTAAACATCTTTTTAACATTTTGATCTGTAACCCAAATTTATTTTTCCCATTGCAATCCAAATAATTACCTGCCAAAATATCACTGTTCCGTGCAGCTATTGTTTTTACTTTTATTATTCCTGATTCAGCAGCCTGGAAGAGAAGAAAATAAGTAGTTTAGATGCTATTCCATACATCAGTGTGTGGAAAGAAATAAGAATACTGAAGTTAAATTAAAAATGTATAGTCTCAGAGCAAAAATGGTCTTGTAGCGTTTTCAGTAAGCAGAGCTAATGCATAAGTGGAATCTTTGCAGTTTCTGGAATTCCTTTCCAAAATTCCATGGGAAGGGGTATATTCTGTGTTTCAGAATTTTTAGAAATCATGATTCTCATTGTACTCCTTTCCTGTCTGATGAATGCAAAGAAAAATCACTAGTAAAACTGCTACAAAGTCTCTGTACAGTTTCAAACTGAAACAATCACCATGATATATAATCTGTCACATTCATCAGGTTGAAATACTGAAGAAACTGAGAACATCAGTAATTATCACAGTGCTTAATACTTAACACTTAAGCAATAAACTCCAGTCAAAAAACTGGATGTGGTACACAACACTTGAATATTATCACTGTTCTTCCAGTCAAGCAGCAGTATTTTCCATTTGAAAGCTAACACTTTCACAAACAACAAGTAACAGAATGAAACTCATTTTCCCATGGATTTTGTCTCCCAAATGCCCTGTACAAATTACCCCAGGGCAGTACCATGAAGAAGTCTTCCTAAGAATACTCTCCATTCTTCCCAACACACCACACAATCCAGACCAAGAGTTCCTCTCCTTTCCCTGTAAGTACGACCTGGCAGACCAAGAGCACCCTCCTCTCCCCGGGCACACCTCCAGCGGGACCCGTGCAGGCTGGGGACGCGTGTGCACAGCCCGGCCGGGCACCAGCTGGGCGCTGCAGAGCTGAGCAGCCCACAGGGGAGATCACACACCCTGTGAGAAAACAGCTGTTCTCTCTTCAGCTGTCCACAAATGCTTCCTAGCATAAACCACTAAAGTCGTGTTCTCTAATGAAATCAAGACAAACTGAAAATATAACATTCAGGCTTTGCATTTCAAAATTATTATTTCTGACAAGTTTGGTGTACAAACCACAAAAATACATCGCAAGTGGCGCCTTTCCATTTTTTAATTCTATTAATTTGCTATAAACCTCTGGAAACAATTAAAGAAATCATGTTCAATCCACTGTGCACCAAAGCAAATGCAACAGGTTTTCCCAAACAACAGGACACATTGCTGGAAAATACTTTTCTACCAAATTTAAAAGTACATTTCCGCTTCTATTTCAGCTTCATGTTTCTGTGTACTTCCCACACTAAACATTTCAGTTTTTCCTCTGATATTATTTAAAGAAGTGTGTCATCACTAGATAAAAGATTAGAGAAGCAAACTGTGGCAGCAGAAGAGCTGTGGTAGCAGAAATATGAAAGCAACAGTATATGAAGTTCTACCAAGTACTAATATTCCCCTCCATCAAAACACTAGTCCAACAAGATTTCCCAAAAAGTCAGGTTAAGATGACTATATAAATTCATAAGAAATTTTTTTAATGAAGAGTTGATATACATATTTTTCAAAATAGCTAAATTTAGAAATACAGAACTGAAATTTTCCACTTTTTTTTTTTAAAACTTCCCAAAACAACAAAGACTAAATACTGCCTTGAGAACATTGAAGACATTTGTGACATTCTGGAGAATTATTGAAGCTTTGCTGAACATTGTGTTTCTACTTTAAAAGTATATACAGAATAATATCTACAGTGCCTGAACTAATATGCAACATGCAAATATATCTTTTACATACTTAAAATGAGGCATGCCAAGTGCAGATCTCATTTATTTTTATTATATTAATGTGCTGAAGTGTCTTGAGTCAGTCCTTGTTCTTCAGTTATAAATTGACAGCTAAGTGGGGGAGGGGGTGGGGGGGTCTTGTCACAACAAGTTGTTCCTATTAATTAATATGAAGGATTTGTCACAGTCCAACTTCAATTATCTTCAAACTAAACCTCATCACATCTACTGGCAATCAATTTCTTTCTTGTAAAGAGTGACAGACTCTAAATCAAAGCAATATTAAGCCTGCCCACATGCAAGACATTTGCAAACACTGCACTCTGCACAAAGAAGGAAAAAATTATTTCCAACATAACATGTCCAGTTAGTTGCTTCCATGCTAGCTTTATATAAAATAGCATGTTTTTTAAAAAAAACTAAGGTAAAACAACAGCTATTAGACTTTTTACTACTGCTCTGAATATAACAGTTTTTCTCCATGAGATATAGGAATTTCTATTATTATCTGCATTAAGCTATCATTTGTATTTAGAATCCCAATTCAAAATGTTTACAGTTAAAAATGAATTACATTGCACACATTCAAAAAAAAAAACCCAAACCACCCCACAACACTCCACTATATATGTAAAAAAGATCACATATTAACGTTGATGAAAAATTATGTCAGTTGACCACAAATAACCAGTAGAAAAAAATGAAAGACTATAAAGTTATCTGTCTAGTCTGTATACATAAATATAAAAGTGTACTTGGATTGCATCAGTTTAACTTGGCAAATTAAAAGAGGTATTAATAGATTTCACGTTTACAAATTTACATCAATTACTACAGCACTCTCCGGGGCACTGCCCCATTAGAAAAGGAGATGGCCAGCATCATACTGTGTATTTATGGGTACAAATATGATCATTTACTTTCACACAAATACAAGGCACTATGTTTTTAAAGCAGTCACCACTTTTAAAAGTAACATTATCAGTTTCCCTCAGCACCACATTTAATAGCAGTCTAATGAGCCAGTCAGTTATCTCTTTAATTTTAAAAAGAAGCAAATACACGTAATTCCTGTACCATAACAAAGCTCAAGTGTACCTGAAACTTTCAGTCAATCAGATTTCCTATTCTGCTACTTTAATAACTGTGAAATGAACTGAAATAAAATGTCTCAAACACACACTTGCCATTATTGAGTTTTGCTTCATGTTTCTGCTGAAGCAACTAGAGCATCCACTTCAGGGAGGGGAAATACTGATGAAGAATAGAAACTGGCTTCCAGTGATATTCAACCCAATCTCCTCTGGTGCTTTGACTTGGTTTTAATCAAACAGTTAATAATCTCACAGCAAAATTCAACAGGACACTCTGGGCTCAAGTACTTGGGCCATCATCTATCTGCTTCCTTGAAACTTACCAAGTATTTGCTGATTACGTGGAAATCGCCCTTTACAGAAACCAAATGGAGAATTTATGTACAAAAAAAAATCAAGGCACACATAGTGCAGTTTCAAGTAGACTGAAAAGAAGCCTGTGCATAACATCTACCTACTTGCCTCAGAGCTCCTCTCCCAAGGTACAGTCTGACAACAACATTCACAGCTTCCTGAGAATCTCACTCTAAAGCTGCCTTGTAGACAGAGGCTCCCTGCACAAGAGATACCAGGATGTGGAAATTCATAGACTTTCAAATCCAGCTTTAAGAGTTTCTCAGATACAAAACTCTGCCTCCTCACAAACTTCTCAGTCCTCAGTTCAAACAGGGAAGAATTCCACCTTCTTGTCATTAGATGTTCTGTGCACATCTTCCAAATTTTTTGAAATTTTAACCCTTCTGTAGAGCCAAAAGCACCAACCAGGTAACAGAGTCGGGTAATTTCTGCTCAGGCACTCAGTAAGTGAAGACTTGACCCATCCTCAAGCAGCATCAACATTTTTCACTGTCCAGGTAACAGAGCTAAATTTCTCCCCCTTATAGTCTTTGTTCACATATATAAAGATCTATAACTCACAAATAGCATATGGAGGTATCAGGATAACTGGGGTATGCAATTCTACTGGCTACTTTTCAGGATGATGTAAAGGCAAGCCACCCATCTCAGCAGCAGACCAGTAAGCGCATCTGAAAGGCACCCGTTCCTCAGATCTGTCTTCCAGGGACACTATGGAAGCTCTCAAACCCAACTGCAGCAGAAAGTCTACGTTACCAGAAGATACCACTATAGCTAACTCCATGAGGATGTTACCTGGCAGCCCAAGAACGGCCACAAGGAATAACAGCATGGCGTACACTTGAGCGGGTAACTGTGTAATGATTTAGTGGTCTACTTCTCACAGGCAAAGGAATCATGGAAAATAACAACACAGTTAACAACTTTTCATAAGTGAGAGATGACACAAAAGTCTAATCTCAAATCTCTCTCCTACCAGTGACCCTTTTCAGGAAGTGAAAAACACCCACTGTCTCTGCCGTATCAGCAATTTTTTAAGCTTAAATAAAAGAGGTTTTAAAAAGGATCCACTTGCTGATCTTCAAAGAAACTGGTATCTCACAATTAAGACCAGAAGACACTACCTTTTTAAAAACAAAACAAAACAAAAATTATATATATACATGAAGATATTTAATGTAACAAGGCATGTGCTCATTTCTAAAAAGGACTGATCTAATGTTAAATATATTTTTGTATCGACTTCTAAATGTGATAGCATTGTTACCAAAAGTTAATAAAAGAAAGAATTTCCGCTACTAGTGCTTTGAATGATCATCTGTTTTGATTGTATGTTCTGAGCAAACTGCTACCTTTAGAGATACCAAAATTGCTGTAAGGTTTGCAGTTCTTACTACACAAGCTTTTGATTTCTCTCTTCTAAAAAGAAAAGCATTCAGAAACGTTTTCAGGAATGATGGTCTGTGTTGGTATTTACATTATGTTATTTGCCAATCTTTTAATAACACTGGATGAGAGCAATGTATGTAATCTACGGTCACTTCCACATCTATTACATGAAATAAAAAGAGCAATTTTTTTCTATTCATCATTATCTGCCTTTCCAATTGGAACAGTAACTCTATATCCAATACTTTAGATAAGAGAGCTTCCTGTCTAAAGCACAGTTTCAGTTCATTGTTATTCTGGCTTGCTTTGCAATAGCACATTCTGGACCATTACTGTACTGCTAAACTATTATTTGGAAAAGAACACACTCAGAAAAAGCTACACACTAAATCAGCCTCATGAAAGCACTTGAGTATACCACATTTGTGTGAAAAAGCACTGTACTTGCCTTCTGTG